ATTTCAATTTCTATGCTTAGATGTATGAGAAAATGTGACTATTGGCTGTTTTAAATTTTAATTTAGACGAGATTTTCCTGATATTTAGCATAGATGGCGATTGCTTTTGAATATGATAATTAATAAAACATCCAAAATCATCTAATTTGAAGTGGGGTAAAAGCTTTTAGGCACAAACATTTAAAATCATAGTTTCTTTTGAGATCAAAGAGATCACTATACAATAAAACATAATGTATCTTTAAGAACTGAAAATTTCCCAGCCCCAAAGCACAATTTATTGAAACGAAACTGCAACAAAAATGCCTCATTCTTACATTTTTTTATGGATGACATTTTTAATGATGATTATATTTTAGATACCATTATATGAATATATTAATTATTTTTCTTTTTTTTTGTGAAACTTTCCTGTCAGAAAAAAAACTATTAGTAATCCTTTTTGCACATTTCACTTTCAAAGAAGTTAGCCAATTAAAACACATGTAATTTGCATGTTTACAAACATATTTTTAATGTCAAAAAGAGGCTGTTAAATGGTCAGGAAAACTAAATTAGAACTTTTTCTGGTCAAAGGAAGCTTGACAAACAATATAAATAGACTTCAGAGAAAAATAGGATAATTAAAAAGAAAGATGTGACTACCAGTCAATACGTGATTTACAAAGAATGCCATGTTTGTATCGTATAGTGTACAGTTTTCATTATACTATCATCAGTATCATACAAAACAAATGAACAAAATGGCATACTATTTGCATAACAGAATATAAGCTCAGCAGGACAACAGAGATGTAAAATAGCTTGCATAAATAGTAAGATTAATATTTATGTTGAGGAAAGTATAATTTTACATTTAGATGAATATTTCACTAAAGTGGTGGGTGTGATGACAATTTAAACGGTACGGTAAATTCCCAGTTCCAGCTCACAAAACACCAGGGAGGGATTTGTTTAGTTTATTCTGATTTATTTTGCTCTTGCTCTATTGGGACAGTGATGAAACGTATGTAAATCTAATGTCAATATCAATAGAAGATGGACTTTTTCACTTGAGGAAGCGTTATCATGGACTTTGGCCACAAGCAATGATTTAAAGCTAAAATGCCTTAATGATGGATTTGTTTCTTACAAACACGCAGCTTTTCACTTCACAAGATGTTAACTGATGGACTGGAGTGGTGTGGATAACTTGTGGATTATAATGATGTTTATATCAGATGTTTGTCTCTCATTCTGACGGCACCCATTCACTGCAGAGGATCCATTGGTGATCAAGAGATGTGATGCTAAATTTCTCGGAATCTGCTCAGATGAGGAAACAAACCCATCTACGTCTTGGATGGCCTGAGGGTGAGTACATTTTCAGCAAGTTTTCATTTTTGGGTGAACTATTCCTTTTAAAGTTTGATTTCTTTTTATTATATTTATGCGATTTTCGCCTTTCACTAAGAGTCTCAAAAATGTTGCTCGATCTTTGAAGATCTTTTAAAAATGATATCAGTTCAATTAAAAATTGCACAACAATGTGTCACTATGGATCCAAAAATGTCTGCTAAATGACTACCAATAAAGTGCTGATTCACATCAGCATAAACACAGAAACTCAATCTACCTCAGTCTCTTCAGAGAAGAGAGAGCATGCGAGGTTTAAGAGGGCATGTTTAACTACGGTCAGAGTTTCTAAGGGCGATTTTCACCTTTCACTAAGTCTCAAAAATGTAGCTCGATCTTTGAAGATTCAGTTCAATCAGTTCAATTAAAAATTGCACAACAATGTGTCACTATGGATCCAAAAATGTCTGCTAAATGACTACCAATAAAGTGCTGATTCACATCAGCATAAACACAGAAACTCAATCTACCTCAGTCTCTTCAGAGAAGAGAGAGCATGCGAGGTTTAAGAGGGCATGTTTAACTATGGTCAGAGTTTCTAGACAAAATTTGTATGTACACAACTGTAGAAAACTACATACTCAGGAAGTTTTCAAGGTTAAAAGTAGATGAATGAATTGTTCTCGTACTGTTCATTTTGCTAGTTATTGTGGTCTCTACCTTTTTGAAGCATCTCATTCGTGAAAGCTAACCGACTGAAAGAGAAACCGGGAAAATTATCATGATGCTTAAAAACCGTTTATGAGCCTCTCAGTAGGTCTGTAAACTGAATTATTCAAATGACTCAAATTCATAGCATTCAAAAAAGGCGTTGTTACCACCTACTGGTGTAACGATATAATCGACTGAAAGAGTCATTCAACAAATTAAAGGAACACTCCACTATTTTTGAAAATAGGCTCATTTTCCAACTCCCCTAGAGTTAAACAGTTGAGCTTTACCATTTTCTAATCCATTCAGCCGATCTCCGGGTCTGGAGGTAGCACTTTTAGCTGTAGCTTAGCATAGATCATTGATTCTGATTAGACCGTTAGCATCTCGCTCAAAAATGACCAAAGAATTTCTATATTTTTCCTATTTAAAACTTGACTCTTCTGTAGTTACATCGTGTACTAAGACCGACGGAAAATGAAAAGTTGCAATTTTCTAGGCCGATATGGCTAGGAACTATACTCTCATTCCGGCGTAATAATCAAGGAACTTTGCTGCCGTACCATGGGTGCAGCAGGCACAATAATATTACGCAGCTCCTGAAAATAGGCTAACTTCTGTCAACATAACCAACGTGACCACCTGCTTGCACATGGAGCGTGCTGGGGACTATTTTAAAAAATATGGAACTAAAATATTTTCTTCTCAAAGGTATTAAGAAACCTCTTAGTAACTACCCAGAATATCCAAGCAACGTCTAAAACCAATTTAGGGGTTATTAATAGCACTGTTTGTTGAAAGTTAACACATGGTGGGTGTGTGCATGTGTGTAGGGTTAAAAGGTTACAGGCATCTGTAAACGCAACTTACAGACAGTATCATTAATGTTTGTAGCTTAAAGGGTTTGACTAGTGTGATTACCAAAATGCACAATGCTTCTCTTAGCAAACAGCACTAATAACAGTTCCACCAGAGCCGCTTTAATCATATGGAGCGTGTTTGCATTCTTGAGAAGACGTGTCAGGTTGAATGCTGTTCACACAGCATCAAGCTCACAACACATTATATAATGTGTCACTTCACATTGTATTTGGCATGTTTTCTCTGAGTCTCCCACTGAGATGTTTAAGGTTTGTTGTGAAGTTTCATTGTGAGCTGGTGACCCTGCGCCGAGCGGATGACCTCTGAACTTGGTCAGTCTGTAGAAACAGCCAATATGATGTACATTTCTAATGGAAGCCTCATTTAATGTAGTGTATAGTTATATATCAGGTGAACATTACCATCTAGTGGCTGAATATGGAACAAGTGCAGAGGCTGGTACAGTAATGGTTGTTTTTATCATTTGTAGAACAATAACAAATTCTTTATTTTATAAGCATTTCACTTAGACTGAATATGCCCTGAACATTTCCCAAAACAGGTCTATTTAATTCAATTCTAGTGTAATGCTGAAAAAGAAACGAATACTTTCTTTCAAAACTACAGTAGCCTGGTTGATTTGGACAATTAAAATTACAAAAAGCAATTTAGAAATTGCCTGAAACATGCACACTTATGGTTATTAACATGTATTAGTTAACACTTTTTACTCCAGTGAATATTTCTAATTTTAAAAAATCTGTTTCTTTCTGGACACATGCCTTGAAGTTTTAAAAGCTATTGAACATTACTGAACACTATAATTGCAGAGGAAATACATATTGACCCTCTGTGACCCTATAGCAGGGCATGTTTTGACAGTAAATAGGGAAGAGATGCCAGGAACCTGCTGTTAATTTGGGAGAAATAAAAGAAAACTTCCACATCTGTAGGTGTGTATTTAATATGCATTATAGGATATTTATTTGATCTTCTATATATAAAAACTATTGTATATAAACAATATCTGAATTTTTGTAAAGAGAATATACTTACAAAAAAATATCCCTGTAAAGCAGTCCTGTTCAGAAAAAGCTTTTATTTTCAAATCACTTGGCACTCTTTAAAAAAATATAATAAAAACATACAAATAAAATATTATCCCTTTCTCATCTGTATCATTTTCATAACTCCTCAAGAAAAAAAGTCCTTAAGAAACTCCTTAAGAAAAAAGTAAACATTCCTTTGGGTCTAATTGCTTTAAACTTTGATTTTTCCAGTAAATACATTTCAGCTGCCTGAGAGAATACTGCGGAGGAAAGCGTAAATAAATCACATTCAAATCAGCACATTCCCATCCTTCCCAAATCAAAAGCAGCATGTTGTAGAACATTTCAGTTTTCACAGGGGGACGATAATGAGGCTATAAGAAAATAATGCAATATTATACTTGTTTAGACAAAGTATGCACACTTTTAGCAAGTTAACTTAGAAATGTACATGAAAAAAAAAATTATTTATCACTTTTCTTAAGAATAATCTGTGCCAATCATTGGGTCACATGACATGTCCACAGCCAATCACATGCCTCGAGACTGAATAAATGGAGTACAAGGTCATGATCTTGGCATGTCTTTACACGACTTTACATTGTTCCGTGTCTCTTTTTTCTCTACTGCAATTATAGTGAAGAAGTGCAAATATAGGGAGAGTATGTGGTTGGAAAACACAGAACAGCCCGAGGCATGCACAGAAAGATGTGGAGATACAGCTCAAACCACATGAAGCTGTTCTTCTGTTATTCATCAGATGGAAATGTACAGTATCATAGTCCAACATGCATCTTGTCTTTGTCAAACCACACTTTACCGGAGGTTTAAGTCATGTGGTTGTGTTGGGGGAAACCCTCCCAACTTGTCACTTAATACATATGCATTAAAAAAAGGATGTGCAATCTCTTGCTACATGTCACAATTATTAAAGTAGCCATATTACAAATATTGATACAAAAAATATTTTGTAAAAAATTGTTTATAAAAACGATTATAATATATATATTACTAAAGAATAAAACTGACTTTCATGACAGAGCTTTACATTCTCCATGGAGGTTCTGTGATGGTTCTGTTCCCAAAGAGCTTCAGCTTTTTCTGTGCGTTTCTTCTTTCTTCTCTCCTTTCATTTTTCCTTTTATCTGCCAAGATAAAACCGTAAAACCATATAAGAAAGTGAATCATATTCAAGTTAAATATTGTAGGCAGTGAAACCATATACTGTATGTTTTTTATTATTGATGTAAAGCATTAAGAATTCAGTTTGATCACTTCAATATGTCTGTCACATCTATAATCTAGTCAGAGTGATATTTTTTATTACATCAGCACTTGACACTGACATTTTGCTGTGATGTTTTTGTGTATTGATGCGTTTCTTTCATTTTTCTGTTTTGAACATGTTGACATATAATTTTAATGTCAAAGAAAAAGGTCACTAATTGTTTTCTTGTATATTTGCATAATTTGGCTGGACAGAAATAACACAAATTTTGTCCATTAAAATCCACTGAAATGGCATTTACATTTTTTAAAAAGGAAATTAAGTATAATATGGAAATTATCCTATGATGCCATATCCTCATCTTCAACTGGGAAATATAAAAACATATCAAAATGAACTATGTGGATAGAATGTCCATACTGTTTAAATATATTGATTAACTGGGTTCTATTTTGAAAAATAAGTGGCAGTGAATTTAAACATAAAAATGTCTAAAAGAAAGTCTCAAAATATTAATTTGTCACCAGTTATGTGGAGTGTCTCACAAAACGCATTTTAATTGGGCAATCCTATCTCAAGAGAGATGTTCAGAAATAAGCAAAAACTAACCTAACGGTTGGAAACAATGTGTCAAATACCTGAATACCTTGAACAAAGAGTTTATTCAAAATCAGAAATGATGACCAGTTAAACTCCTGCCAGGAAAAAAATTTAAAAATTAAATAAAATATTACTATTATGCTCTTTATAAAATAAAAAGGAGCTGTTGACTTTTACATGGTGAAAGCCAGTGTTTATTTTTTTGTGTTAGTGGACAATTTCTCGCTGTCATGCAATGGTCATGCAGCTCATAACCTGAGAATGTTGCTTTAATGTTCATGTCTGGTTTGACTTTAAGAATCAAAATCAACAACAGAGGAGCTTCAGGGTGGTATGTACTGTCATCCAAAAAAAAATAAATTCTGGAGCAAAAGCGGAACAAATAGTGTGCAGAGGTGGGTGCTTGAGTTTAATTTAACATTTTGGTTTGCTAAAACCAAATCATAATCCATGTTTGTCTTTTTAAAAGGGACATAATAAGAGCATAATAAAACTGGAGTAAACAGTTATTATGGCCTAAGGAGTCTGTGGTCTGGAAAACACCATGGCCTGGCAAGAATGCCAGTTTCTCCATCATTTTCCTGTTTTTCTCCTCTTGGACCTCTCCAATCTTTTTTATCTGTTGTCATTCTCTGCCCCGCTTTTTACTTGCTTTGATTAAAGCTTCCTAATTTTTTCATTTTCTCAGATTATGCACACACAAAGCACTAAAAGTCGATATTTACAGCCCTGAGTCATCTGTTTTAGGCCCACAGCGGCCCCCGCCCTACCCTTTAATCCTAAAACCAACATCAATCTCCATGTTAAGATCAGAGGTTTGTGCGTTGTGATTTAAGCAGGTAAGTTTGGGTCACCTGGCAATCTTCTGCTGTGAGCCGCTCTGAGATGTGCTGCCTGACTTTCATTAGCTCTCAGGGTTACACTTGAAGACAGGGAAACTTGAGAAGAACGGCAATGATCTTGTGTTAATCTAGAGGACATCCTAGGACTAAATTCATTCATCGGGTTCTCATTGGTCACACCACAAGTAAGTCTTTGAGGTGTCAGCTTCAGAGATAAACCACAATGGTACTGATTGAGAACATCTGATGTGGATAGTAACCGTATATTTTGGTACTGTTTTTGAGTAGACTTTTCTGTATGAATTCTTTTTTTTATGTTTTTAAAAGAAGTAGTTTATGCTCACCAAAGCTGCTCAGAAATACAGTAAAAATCAGTAATACTGTGAAGTACTGTATTATTACCATTTAAAATAACTATTCTAAGTGAATATATTTTAAGATGTCATTTATTGCTGTGATGCAAAGCTGAATTTTCAGCATCATTACTCAAGTCTTCAGTGTCACATGATCCGTCAGAAATCATTCTAATATGCTGATTTGCTACTCAAGAAATATTTTTATTAATATCAATGTTGAAAACAGTTTTTTTTGATGAATAGAAAGTTCAAAAGAACAACATTTATTGTAACATTTGAAATATAAATCTGTAATGCTGTAATGTCTTTACTGCTGTTTTGATAGATTTAATGCATCCTTGCTGAATAAAGGTACTAATTTCTGGAAAAAAAAAAAAAAATATGAATTCTTTTTTTTAATGTTTTTAAAAGAAGTATTTTATGCTCACCAAAGCTGCTCAGAAATACAGTAAAAATCAGTAATACTGTGAAGTACTGTATTATTACCATTTAAAATAACTATTCTAAGTGAATATATTTTAAGATGTCATTTATTGCTGTGATGCAAAGCTGAATTTTCAGCATCATTACTCAAGTCTTCAGTGTCACATGATCCGTCAGAAATCATTCTAATATGCTGATTTGCTACTCAAGAAATATTTTTATTAATATCAATGTTGAAAACAGTTTTTTTTGATGAATAGAAAGTTCAAAAGAACAACATTTATTGTAACATTTGAAATATAAATCTGTAATGCTGTAATGTCTTTACTGCTGTTTTGATAGATTTAATGCATCCTTGCTGAATAAAGGTACTAATTTCTGGAAAAAAATAAATAAATAAATAAAAAATGTACTGAACCAGTAAGCATTCATTTTTTTAGTCCAGTTGAGAAAAAAAAATCACAGCTGCAAGTACTTCTTTTTCACCTGCCATACTAGAAATCAAGTTGATTGCATTGCATTGTTGGATACACCAGTGTACTTTATAGTGCATGAAAGCAGAAAATGTGCATACTGTGCACCCTATATTCTCTCAAAAACAGCACTTAGTATACAATTCCAAAGCAATGTGACAGCAATGGAAATTATAATGACAGAAATGTCATGCAGTCTTTCCATCACACATGGGTGCCATTCAGGGCGACTGAAGGTGACAGAGAAAATATCACGCCTCATTTTCTTAACGCCACCAGACATTTGATCTGCCAGCGATAATGAAGATTGCTGCAAACAAATGATTTCCAGCAGAGCATCAAATGGAAGCAAAACACAATTTCCCAAGTTTAGCCTAGGAACAGTTTTAGCTCTCTAAAGTGACAATGTTTGGATCTTGTGTTTCGTGTAATGTGAGAATCGTGTGAGCATCTACAAGAAAGATGATATAAAGAGGCTTAAAAATATGAATCACCTTTTGGACACCTTTTCTTAATCCTGCACTTTCTGCTCTCAGTCTGATGTGGACAGAGTGCATCGGTCTCTTCAGGCGTGTTTCTGGACAGCTCACGGGTCCTGCTCTGCTGCCCCCATCTGACACCACAGCTCAGGCCGTTGTGCTGGCATGGGCTCCATTCACCCCAGAAACCAAAGGTAGTGAACACACAGCCTTCTGGAGTACAAACAGATAAACTAACTAAATTGAATCAATATTGAACCAAGTTGAGCTGAATAATAACACTATTGTTTTCCGTAGAGCTGCTTTACAGCTGAAATTGCATTAGTTTCATAATTGAAAAACTATACTGTTATTTTCTTGTTTATTATTTAAAAAAAAAGGTAATTGCACTTTTTATCTTACAATTCTATCTATCTATCTATCTATCTATCTATCTATTAATTAACTTTTTTATTTTTTCAGTCTGTATTGAAACCAAAAAAAACAGTTGCAACCTCATAATTCTAAGGAATAAAGCACAATTGCGGAATATAAACTAGATCTATCTATCCATCTAGCTATCTATCTATCTATCTATCTGTCTGTCTGTCTGTCTGTCTGTCTGTCTGTCTGTCTGGCTGTCTGTCTATCTATCTATCTATCTATCAATCTTTCTGTCTGTCTGTCTGTCATCTGTTTATCTATCTATCTATCTATCAATCAATCTTTCTGTCTGTCTGTCTGTCTGTCTGTCATCTATCTATCTGTCTGTCTGTCTGTCATCTATCTATCTATCTATCTATCTGTCTATCTATCTATCTATCTATCTATCTATCTATCTATCTATCTATCTATCTATCTATCTATCTATCTATCTATCTATCTATCTATCTATCTATTTTTATCCCGTGACAGAAACTGGCTTCCATAGCTTTGAAACAGTCTGTATTGTATTAAGCACTATCTAAATAAATGTGATTTGACTTAATTTAATCTTTTTTTTTTTTATCAAACGCTACTGTGTGAGTAAGCAAGTGAACTCATTCCTAAGTTTTTGCACTACATCAAGTTAATGGCATGTAAATACCCTGGTAAATGCAACCAGAAATTTCCCTCGAGTCTATATCTGCTGCTTTTCATTGCCACACATGAGAAAACATCTTGATATAATTGTTCCAAATAAAACAAGACTGACAGGTTTCTTTCAGTATGGTAATGAGAGTTTCATGGCATCTACCATAAAGAAGGTCTGAAAACGATTAAAACACTTACCAACACAGTCTGTGGACTGAGGAAATGTGCCCTCTGGACAGTTTTTGAAGCATTTGCCTTTGAAGAGCAGATATCCTGCCTTGCACTTAGTGCAGAAGTCTTTGCTGAAGCACCTCTCGCACTCTGGAGCTTTGCATTCTGGGAGAAATATGTATGAGGATTATAGTTATATATAAGGTGTGTGGTATTGTTACAGGCTTTCTCAAGATATCAAGAGATGAATGGCCCCCTCAAAAAACGTATTTTAGAAAAGTTTTTGAACAAAAAACAAACAAACAATAAAAAAGGAATAAATAAATAAGATTTTATATAATATACAGTATTTTATGATATTATTATTATTATTAGACTGAAGTTCTTTCAGCAATATGACATTTCACCATGTTTAAAATAAACTCAAAGGAATTCCTTTAAAAAATATTACTGAGAATATTACATAAAATAAAAAAATTATATGTTTTAATATAATTTAATAAGGAAATTTTTTGAAACACTATTATTATTATTATTATTATTTTTGACTTCAGAATTCCTTTTAAAATATTAGCGAGAATATTCAAGTATTAATATGAAATAGATATAAAATAAACATAAAAAATAATAATAATAAAGAAATACAAAAGTTCCAAGAGGTTTGGACATGTAGATGATTATTATTGTGCACTTGTTTGATAGTATTAATAACAGTCTAGGATGGACTCACTCATGCAGCGGTTGAGATCTTTGCCTCGGAGGCCGAAGTGTCCAGAGGGACAGGAGTGAACACAGGAGCCGTGGTGACTCATGCCATCTCTGTTCAGGAACAGGAAGAGGCGCTCAGAGCAGCGCAGGCAGCCATTTTCCTTCGAACACTCCAGACAGCTCCTGCAGTTCTGTCGCCAGCTCTCTGAAAAGGTCTAGGATGGACTCACTCATGCAGCGGTTGAGATCTTTGCCTCGGAGGCCGAAGTGTCCGGAGGGACAGGAGTGAACACAGGAGCCGTGGTGACTCATGCCATCTCTGTTCAGGAACAGGAAGAGGCGCTCAGAGCAGCGCAGGCAGCCATTTTCCTTCGAACACTCCAGACAGCTCCTGCAGTTCTGTCGCCAGCTCTCTGAAAACATTTCAAATCATTATTAGCAAACAGGCAATGTAGCATCACAAGGGAGCGTGTCATTATCTGACACATTACACTTTCTGTAGTGACATTTGAGGGTTTTGAGGAGACATTCTAAAGGCCATAAGCCTGTATGCCATCTTGAAAAGGAACTTTTTTCTGTCACCTAACTAAGCTCAAGAAAGTATATGCAGTGTGCATTTTAGCAATGCAGTACAGATTTGAATTTTGATATGTGCATTTTCATGATTAATTGTGATAAACGATGCAATCAGACTTAAGAATTCCTCCTGGTGGATGATATCTAGAAAGCAGAGAGACTCATCGGACTTGAACAACCACCTAGCAACCACCCAGAACACCCTAGAAACCACGTAGCAACACCAAGAATTTGCATTGGTAAGTACATTGCATGGTTAATTCACAATGTAAAAATCAAGTTTAGGCCCATATGGCAAATCATAACTTTTTTTATGTACCAATCTTAAAATTGGTACATGCAAAATATATATTTCGTTGAAATTACACAATATATTACTAAATATGCATTTTGCTTATGGCCACTTTTTGTTTTGTTCTATCTTCTCCACATCTATAAAGTCCACATCTAAAACCATTAGGGACCCACAACAACAATTGAGGTCCACTGGTTAAAGGTCAGGGCCATTAAATAAAGTAACTGGTTCAATCCCTTCAAAAAAAGAGAAATGAGCCATCACCACTGTGCCCTTGAGCAAGACACATAACCCTGGACTGCTCCATGATGAGTTGGTCATTGTAATAATTCAACTGTATAAAAGCATCTGCCAAATAACTGTTTACTCTCTCTCTCTCAGTCTTTTTCTTTTCACAAAATGTGTTGCTAATGTACAGAGTGCATGCATGTTTACATCCGACCAATACCAAAGCCAAAGACTGGAGATTGAAGCCTCTTGTCTGCGTGTGTCGTGTCAAACTGAACCACTGGAGAGGGTTTGCAGGGGGGAGATGTGAGGAAACTGCCAGATGGTTCTTATCTTCATGTCCTTCATTAGGGAAATAAAGAGAGACACCACTGTCTAAAAAGACGTCGGTGAGCCAAGCTGTGATGCTTCCGCTGCGTTCCCATTGTTCACTATTTTCTGCATGGATGTCAATCAAATGGAATTGAGAAAACATGGGGAAAGATACAAATAAGAAATGAAGGCCAGATACTTCTATAATGCTCAAATTGAGAAGTGTTTTTCTGCTCTGTATATCTGAATTCTTACGTTTTTTTAAAGTAATTGGTTAGTTATATAAAAACACATTCAAAATAAGTGTTTCAAACTATTTTGCTGTTAAATTTCTTTGCTTATGTGCTTTTACTATATAAATAGATATATATTGTAGATTAGACGGACGGACGGACGGACGGACGGACGGACGGACGGCAACACAGCATTTTCTAAAGCAAAATTATAATGCCAGTTCTGTAGGATAAGTATCTGATTTCATCAACTAGAAATCACAACATCTAGAACATAGTAAAGGAATGTATAATATTAAAATGATAGGTCAGGGAAAATCGCTGCAACACACAGCCTCAAGTAACATATTACTGTTGTTAAATGGTGACAACACGTTCAAAAATACACATTGATTCATATATTTAAAAAAAATCTAAATAAACAACTCTTTGCAAGTGGAAATATTACGGTTGCCAAGTAATGTAGTCCTCACATTAATATAGAATTCAACTAATAATCACACACCTCTACACTCTTTATGTATATTCACATAAATAATAGCTATATAAATGGTTTGAATCCGGCTCATCCAATCAGATTTGAGAGTTGGAACTATACTTTGCATAAAACAAATAAACATTTGTGTAAACAAGCAATATTTGGGATTAGTGCACATACTGAAAGTACCATGGCACATGAATTCCTCTACCATGGTGAATATAGAAGTACTCAAAAGAATACCATGATACACCCTCAGGAAAAAAAAGTGTACATATTATTTACCCCTAAAGTGTACATATTAGAACCTAAATGGCATATTTTAGTACCTTTTGAAAAAGTACCTCTCCACTGACAACTTTTGTACCTTTTATCTGAGTGTACATGTCCATAAACTATAGTGTTTGGTACTTTTTTATAAGTGTATAGTTGATTATTTTGCAAAAAAAAAAATACAAATAAAATATATATATATATATATATATAATTTATAAGCAGTCATGAAACACAAATGATAAAAAAAAACAAAACAAGTTCTTACCACTTCGTTTTCTTGCAGCTAACGTCAATTTAAGTGTCTGACAAACAAGGGAGACGAGAGCCAAAAGTTGCCAATGCATCTGGACAAGCAACAGGTTCCGTAACATCTGCCTGAAAGACTGCCTCGGAAAGAGAGCCGGCCTCCTCTCTGCCTCATGGAAACTCATGGATAATAGCCTGATGCTCACCCTGCCCACGTCACCTGATCCAACATCTGTCCAATTTACCTTTCAGCTGTTGAGTAATTGTGCTC